GGAACTCGTTACCACCTCACATTAGAAACATAAAGTCAATCTCACAATACAAATCAGAACTCAAAACACACCTTTTTAGATCTGCTTTTTCCACCTGACACAATTGGTTTTGCCTGATTTTATATTGATTTTATACATTGTCTTTTTTCTTCCTTTCTTTTTCTTTTCTTTTCATCTCTTAGTTTCTGTTACTGCTGATTTTATTCTTTGTACGGTGTCCTTGAGTGCCAGAAAGGCGCCTTTGAAATAAAATGTATTATTATTATTATTATTAATTTGCCTGGAGAACATGTGATCTGATGCTCACCACCCCCTCCCTGAGGAATTTCCAACTGATAACCAGATGAAACCATCTGAATAAACATTGTGTTATCATTTCAGGACTCTTGGATTCTCATAGACGTTATTCTTGGCCATTCCTCGACATACCTCGAGAATGTTTATGGATCTCACCGGAGGACACTGACTGATTATTCCATCCTTATCAGAACTCTTACAGTGCCCTCGAGAGCATCTATGAACATGCTCACCGCTCTCGTCGTCTCCCCTCTGCAGAATGTCTATGTCACTATGTGCTTGTTTGTGCGAGGTGTTTTTTTTAATATCAGAGGGTTTTTTTTCCTCTGGCAGGAAAAAAAAAAGTCTCCTGGACAGTTCGTTTTTCTGTACCAATTTTGTAATTAATATTAATTCTAACAAGAAGAAAATTACGTTACACATTACAGCACAAATCTTTTTTTATTTTTTAACTTAGGTATTTTTCCATTCCAAGCAGTTTTCTTAAATAAAAATAAATAATTTCCAGGTCAAAAGAACAGTTGCAAACCAGTGACACGTCAGTGACTAATGCTCACTGCTACACACTGAGGACCTTTTCACTTAACAGTTTTTATTCAGAAACAAAATGTCTGCTTTCTCTGGACATTAACAAGCCCGCTCCTGGCTGATGGTGTCTCCAGCAGTAGAAAATGTTTGCTCTAAAGGTGTGGATGATGTTGTTGCACACACAGATACCTGGTTGCCAGTTTGATAGCACTGGCATAGTGTCCCTCACATTCCACCAGCAGGTCACTGGATTCACTGAGGTTAGGGTTGATGCAGACATCTGCACCTCTGTGTCTCTTCCTGAATCTTCTCTGTTGCTCTCTGGGGTTTAGGGTTCTGATCATCTACCTAATTGACATGAGAACAAAACATCAACAATAACATGGTTGTTTTATTGTTGTGCACAAACCATTATCTAGGCTGAGAGATAACGGCTTAACTGGTCAACAATATCCTTTACAGCTTAACTTACCTCCATCATGCAGCCTCCACAGTAGAAAAATGCAGCAAACTCAAAGTTTGTGACTGTCCTGTGCCCCCCCCCCCCCCCCATCTCGCTTTTCGTTGTCACTCTGTCCTCCTCACATCAGGGTCAGAGGCTCCTGTGAGGAGAACATTAACATAAACAGTGAGCATTAGGTGAACTGTTTAACCAGCTGACCCATTGGATGAGCACATTTTTACAAGCTTTATCTGTTACTGACAATCTTTAGTTAGCTTCTGATTTTAACTAGCTATATAACCATAAAATAAAGCTCCACACTAATATCTTAAAGGATCCTAGTTTAACTCACCGCGATGCACGTATTAAGCTGCAGTAACGTTAACAAACGTAAACTTACCAGCTGAAATCCCAGACACAGCTCCGTCCTCGGAGTTCTTTGATGAAGAGGAGTCCAGTCATGGAATGTTGAATCAGGCCGTTCAACACCCACTGGCTGACTTTAATGCTGAGAGGAGGGGGGAGGCTGCGGTCCCCCTTGGAGATAAACACGGAGCAACTTTCCGCTCGTAAATTGAAGCCGTTCAATGCTACACGCGCTGCACAAGTGAACCCCATCTGTGGGCGTACCCAGCGTTATATACACACAGCTATACGGCAGCTCTATACAGCCCTGGGTGTAAACATGTAGTCTGTTTACCATATGTCTGTGTTTTGCCTGCCTGCGTGCTGAAACCAAGTGACACGTTACATCCAATACCGAAACTTAACATGGAAAGAAGAGTCATATTTCAATCCATATACCAACCGACGCAGTTCAGTCTGTGCCATAAAAGAACCTCGGTTTGGTATATAGCCCTAGTAAGAAGTTGAAGATCTAGTAGCATTTGACGTTCGAATACCAAAAGAGAGTTGGTTGACGCTATGCACAAAAAGTGACAGGAACAACACAAAAACACACAAAGTTGACAACGACAGGCGGCAGGCCATACACACAGGTGCCATCTTAAGGCTGACATCATCATGTTATTTATTTGTATTCATGTTGTTTTCATTTCAATCAATACCAGAATTTGTACATAACTTTATATTTTTGTCTGTATGATATTTTTAAATATTAAATGTTCTGATCAGTTAATTACTACTTTAAAGGCAGAGCTTATTTATAACATTAACTAAGTCTGAAGAACTTCTACCATGATGGTAATTATTAATTATTTAGTGTAATAAAATCAATAAGAAAGTCTCGTCTTTGACTTAAAATTTCTGTTTGGGATCAATAAAGTATTTTTGCATTTGAAACTGAAGCAGGATAAGAAAAAACAAAGAAAAAGTGGATCCATAATGTTTTCATGTCAAATAAAACTGTTTGAAAATAGGTTTTGTTTTATTTTGAGGGTGTTTTCCTCAAATCTCTTTCACTCTCACGCGCTGCTCATTCAGCCTCGCACACAGGTCAGTCAGTCTCAGGCCTGCAGAGGAGTGTAAACTCCAGAGTCCTGGCCTAAAGATGTTGCTCTTCTGTGCTAGCCTGGCCCATCCTTTTGGCCAGTGGCTGTTTATTTTCCCTGATGTAGAACTGATCATAACCCTCCTGGGACTGAACAGCATATACAATATTACTCTGTTCCAGGGGACTAGATCCAGCACAAACAGGTTAATATTGTATAGTTCAGTGTTTCAGTGTAGGTCACGAAGGGTCAATGGGGTTGGGGTAGGGAGGAGGAGATGGAGATGTCTGTATTGCGCGCTAGCTAGTGCCGGCAGGGGGAGGGGACTTAGCTAACGCGTCTGTATTGCGTGTCGTTAGCTTAGCACTATGTGAGTGCTGGCTGTTGTCGAGAAGAGCTATGGAGCCGTGGGTGAAGGACATTTCGGTAGGCAGGGCGCTTGCTTCTGTTGACAGGGCGGGACACCCCCTTGGATAATGGTAGAGGAAAATCTTAATTTTTATTCATTTTGAATAATCCATCCATCCATCCATCTTTTATCCGCTTCTTCCATTTTGGGTCACGGGGGTCGCCGGTGCCCATGTCCAGCAATCACTGTGTGAGAGGCAGGGTACACCCTGGACAGGTTGCAAGTCCATCACAGGGACACACAGAGAAAAACAACCATTCACTCTCTCACTCTCACCTAGGGACAATTTAGAGTTACCATCAGTCTAACATGCATGTTTTTGGTCTGTGGGAGGAAACCGGAGTACCTGGAGAAAACCCACGGAGAGAACATGCAAACTCCACCCAGAAAGGCCCCCGGACCGGAGTTTGAACCAGGGATCTGCTTGCTGAGGCAGCAGCTCTACCAGTTGCGCCACCGTGCTGCCCGCTGAATAATCCAGGTAAAAAAAATCCAACAAAGATCAGTCAGGTCATCTGAATGGTTTCTTTTATTGTTGAGAGACGTTTAAACAAACTGTGTCCCACAAGCAGCACACTCCCATAGCGAACAAACCCATTTGCTGGTAATAAAATGATTTCTGGGTCCCGCCCTCTCCTCTGTTGACTCCTCCCAGGCAGCCACAGCCAAAGTGGTTCAAAACATCAAGGTTCTTGCTCAATAAGCCAGATTTAAAAAATCCAACAAAGTTCAATCAGGTCATTTGGACGGTTTCTTTTTTGGCTGTGGCTGCTTGGGAGGAGCAACAATAACCTGGAGTCAAACCTGCAGCCTCAGGATTACAAGATCCTAGCACTGACCACTGAGCTATCACAGCCAGTTAATCTTTCTTCAGTGTATTAAAATGTTTATTTTGTAATGTGTTTACCTGTATGTTCTTATTTTATGCTTTAAAGAAAGGTCAGGTGACACCATGATGCTTCTCTACTGTGCAGACACTGGTCCCTAAAATACACCACGGCAGCTTCCATTAACCTGGTCCTGCAGTCTTCATTCCCAGCACAGAGGATGAGGACACTCAGCCTAGTTTTAGACTTTGTCTATGGGTCCTCAGGGGCCACATATCAGCAGATGTCCTATAAATGAATGATACGAGTCTTTGCAGAATTGGATAAGATGTTGATATTCAGCCAGTTGAATCAGTTCTGAAGCTGGGAAACAACCATCAGCAGCAGGATAGCGCCCTTCTCAAGGAACTTCTAATTGTTTTATTTCAGCCTTTTAACAGTATAACTACCTTAAAAATGCACTTCATCACTTACAATAATTAACTGTATTATACATTCCTCTGGATGATTAACCATGTTATATTCTACATATCAGTTTTATCCTAAAAAAGCAACTTTCAGTGCATTATGTTGCCGTTCCTTGTTCTGCAGTGTGTTAACTACAAGCTTTTAAATCAAGATTATACCGTCATCGAAATGAACACACCTCAGTGCATGTTGTGTTGCTTCAAGCCACATTATCTGATCATCCTTGAACCATCAGCACTCAGGGAACTACACGAACCCAAGTCTTCTGAACAGGACTGCCTGTACTCACTCCTCTCCATCACTAAACATTTTAAACATCACGTACTTATTAACTTCAAAAATGGTGCGCTGGCTTGGCAGACACGTTGTCGCAGTTTGCTTGTTAGATGAAAACTAAAAAGCACAGAGGAAGCAACAGCAGTAGCTTTTTATTTGTTTTGTTTACAGGTTTACAATACCCGGAGGCTGAGCAGAAGCCAAGGCCCAGACATACAGACAGCACTGAGCTAGCACGGCAACTGTTTTATCTTATATTGTGCTCAGAGAGGCTACAAAAACATGAGAACTAACTAACTTACCTTATAAAATGCCCCGCTCGTCCCTCTTACTTCCACAACCAGCTCCTCCATGACGCAACTTACTACAGCTCGCTAGCTGGCTAACTACTGTTAGCGATGTTAGCAGCCAGCTAGCTGTCTGGCTAGCCTGACGTTAGCCAAGATAAGAGTTTTCAATCAAAGAACACGCTTCTGTCCAAATTTCCTCGGCAACTGCGTGCAAGAAGAGCCTAAAATAACCGTAAACGTCGGTAATGTTACAACCGATTTTCACAGTGCATGTACTTGTGTTTTCTTCTTTCAGATTTACAAATCGGGGCGTGTGAGAAATCAAAGACAAGTGTGTTTCCCACAGGTTAGCCTGTTCTGTAATGTTGTGTGATTAGTGGAGTATGGTAGGCCGTTGTAGCACATAATTAAACACACCCACAATTATTACTACACAAAATTACAATCATTTAGGTAGAATTAAAAAATAAATAAAAAAGCATTTAAATCAAATTGTGTACTTCTAAATAAATAAGTCTAAAGATTCTAAAAATGTTAAATGACTTTTACCATTTATTTAATGGCTAGACAGAATACATATTGCAAAAATTCGCAATAAATTCTGCACTGATATAAAGAAAAGTCCAGAAAGCTACAAGTTTTATTCCATATCCAGAATCAGCATTTTAGACAGCTCAAATATCAGTCTTTCTATGGCAAATAAGGAGGCACTTGAGAAAAATAAACATTTCTGAAAGAAATCCCATCCAGCCATTATCCTTTACCCGCTTCTTCCATTTTGGGTCACAGGGGTCGCCGGTGCCCATGTCCAGCAATCACTGTGCGAGGGGTGGGGTACACCCTGGACAGGTCGCAAGTCCATCACAGGGACACATAGAGACAAACGAGACAAACAACCATTCACTCTCAGGGACAATTTAGTTACCAATCAGCCTAACATGGTAAATGGACTGTACTTATAAAGCACCTTTTTTATCCTGTCAAGACACTCAAAGCGCTTTACACAACAATCTGTGCCTCATTTACCCATTCATACAGCTCTATACTAGATCTCTACAAAGCTAATTGAATAAATCATTCTAAAGAGACTAATCAGTGATTTATCACATTCATACACTGATGGGACACACATAGGAGGCAATGAGAGGTTCAGTGTCTTGCCCAGGGACACTTCATCATGTGACAGCAGGTGGAGTCGAACCCCCAACTCTTGCATTGAAGGACGACTGCTCTAACCACTGAGCCACAGCCGCCCCATGCAAACATGCATGTTTTTGGTCTGTGGGAGAAACTGGAGTACCTGGAAAAAACCCATGCATGCAAGGAGAGAACATGCAAACTCCACCCAGAAAGGCCACCGGACCGGGATTTGAACCTGGGACCTGCTCGCTGAGAGGCAGCAGCTCTACCAGTTGCACCACCGTGCTGCCCCGAAAGAAATTCCATTATTTAATATTAGGGGTGTAACGGTACACGTGGGTGTATTGAACCGTTTCGGTACAGCATGTTCGGTTCTGTCCATGTGCGTACTGTTTCAGTTATTTTTACACTCATTAAATTTAATAACGAGAGATTATGTGCAGCGGAACTAAGATTCCTAAGCGTGTTTCAGCACGGCGCTATTATCTTGCAGCATGCGCAGCATTAGCAGCCTAGTATCTCGTTCTGGTCTCCTGTTTGGGAACGTTATGGCTTTCTTGTTAAAAGACAAGTGAACAAATCCAAAGCCTGTGTCGACGTTGTTTCACGGAGATTGGATCTGCAACAGGCAACACGTCTAACTTGTTAACGCACTTGAAACGACATCATCGGAACATGAATATCTCTTCTAGCAGCTTGTTGCAAACACAAATAACAGCAGTATCTAAACAACCTTATCAGGTAATTCAGAGGATTAGGTATTTAGGGTAAGTAGGGGGAGTGGTGGCGCAGAGGTTAGAGAAGGTGTGCCTGTGATCGGAAGATCGCAGATTCAAGCCCCGGTACCGACAACATTTTAAAAAAATGTGGGTGGGGTAGGTGAAGCACCCACACCTGCCCCCACCCTCATTCGCCCCACTCTGGGCCCATGAGCAAGGCCCTTAACTCCCATCTGCTCCTTAAAAAGGTCTCTCTTGAAAATGAGTTCTCGTGGCTCAATGAGATTACCTGAATAAATAAAGGGTAAATGAAAATAAATAAATAAATCAGATCGTCCAGAGCAAAAACACAAGCTGTTGGGAGTTTTTAAAGCTCTGGATCTATGTCCGAATGTTATTGATGCGCCGGCTTTGAAGTTATTGAGCCCCGCTACGACATCCCATCACGTAAACACTTCAGCCAAACAGTTGTAGCAGCACTTTATAAAAAAGCTAAAACTGGTATTGTCAACAAGCCCTGGACCAGATTAAAGCCCTGCCCTGATGATGATGATGAACGAGAGATTCAACCACCTTATAACAGAAATTATCGCTGTTCAAGATGAGGTATTGTTATTATATTATTATTATCTAATTAGGCCCAAGCAGCAAAGTGCTGCAAAGGCCATTACTGAGATATAACTGTTGGAATAACCTAGGGGGTGCACTCGAGTCAAATGTTAAATAGCAAAACAAATGTATATAGAAGTGCTCACTGATGACGCACGGAAAATCTGGTAAAGATTGGATAATGTATCATTGAGATATCCTGATGCATGCTCAATAATCCAGGTAGAAAAATCTAAAAAAGTTAAATCTGGTCCTCTGGACATTCAAAAAAAAACAAAAACAAAGCAAATCAACAAAAAAATGTAGAAACGTTTCGTCTCTCATCCGAGAGACTTCCTCAGTCTGAGGTGCTGTATTCAGCTCAGTCTCTTAAATAGCAACGTCTCAGAGTGGATCAACCAGTTTTGCTGCTGACAACCAAAACCAGCTGATCACATGCTCAAGAAGGACCATCAGCCTAACAATGGATCATTAGCACACTGATGGCTGTTTACTGTTCACAGAGGGCTGAGTGATACTAGCAATCACAGCATTGTAAGAGGGGGACAGTTGAACCCGGAGGCCTCCACCCCTGTTTAACGATGGACGATTTCT